TCCCCCCCCTCTCCCCCCCTTCTCCCTCCCTCCCAGAGCCAGTTTTACTCATCATGGAGTATGTGAGCGGCGGGGATCTGCAGACGTTCTTGAGACGCTATCGTCTGCGCAGACATGAATTCCTTAAGCAGGATGACTCACCTCTGACTGCTCCCCGTACCAGCCCTGGGTTGCAGCATGCAATGCCATCTTCCCCAGGCACAGCCTCCACAGAAAAGGTTAAGTTCAAGGACGATGATGCTAACTGGTCAACTTGCATGGCAGATAAACAAGCCCAGCACCAGTATATCAAATCGTCTGCTCTAGACAGAAACCCTACAGCCAAGATCAAGGTCAAGTTCAGTGATGACGTAATCCGTTGGTCAACTGAAGAAGCAGATAAACAAGAAGCACACATTCTGAAAGGTGCTGCTGGGATGAGTGTGTCCGAGAAGTTTAACGATGTGTTGAAATACAAACGTGACACACCGTCCGTGCAGGACACCCCATCAATGTGTGTCCTTGACACTCTGGCCGAATGTGGTCGTAAACGTGTGTCACAAAATGGTGGAAAGCTGCGCCGACTCGAGAGCGAAATCGAGAAGCAGCTGATGTTGGAAGAACGCTTGTTTGGCAGGGCACGGGTCGGCGGTAGGCGGTACAGTGAGGACAATGTCATAACCAGCTGGCCGACGAGGATGAAGTCCTGTTCTTCCCTGTTCAGGGACACGCTAAGTCTGATCAAAGACGAGAGAAGCAAAGAAGAGGCTTTGGAATCCTGCCAGTTTGACTCGGTTTTGTATCGTAAAGACGAGGGCGTTAGTTTTGGGAGCGAGGAATCTTCAGATCAAATCAGTGATGATCAGTTCTGGACGCAGAAAGAACTGATTCGAATCAAAAGCCAGTTGGGCAGCCCAGACATTGTTGATGAGGAGAAAGTTCTGGTGGCTAGTTGGAGTCCTCAGCGCCCTAGTTGGACAGAACGGAATCCTGTGGGCATCTTTGAGGACAGACGACCTTCACCTTTAAAAACAGGTCAAGAAAACAACAACAGCGACAAAGAGGGTGAGGGGAACGAGGACAGAAAGATGGAAGAGGAAACGGTAGAGACAGGCGAGAGGAGAAAGAGAGAAGAGAATAGCGCAAGAGAGAAGAGGAGAGGGAAGGACACGAAGCGAAAGAAAGTAGAGAAAAAAGAAAGGAGAGAGGGTGAAGAGAAGAGGGAGAGAAGTGAGAAGGGTGGAAAGGAGGAGAAAAGACAGAAAGCAAAGGAAGAAGAACAAGAAATCTCTTCATCAAATACAACTGCCGAGAAGATACTACAGTCTCTCTCTAGTGACGTTATGTGTCTGTCTGTGGAAGACGTTCATCACAGAAACCTCCAACGGGCAATGCCTTTGACAGGGGACCAGTCTGACGATTGTACAAACCCACAACCGCAACTACCTGTACCAACATCACAACCAGCATCACCATCATCACTCCCATCACCACCACCACCACCACCACCTACAACAACAAAACAAACAACAACAACAACAACACTGCCAACAAAAACAAAACAAATAAAAACACCACCACTACCATCGACAACGACACAAACAACAGCAGCAGCAGCAACAACGACACCACCACAACCAGCACCACCAGCAACAACAACACCACCAACATCCCCCCAAGACGTGCCCAACACCCACCAAAGTGACACGAGCAACCATAATCTGCTCAGCTGCTGTGATCTCATCGCCTACGCTCTGCAGATTGCGCGCGGGATGAAACACCTGGCAGACCATAGCGTACGTTGGGAATGTATGTATGTCTGTCTGTCTGTTTGTCTGTCTGTCTGTCTGTCTGTCTATCTGTCTGACTGGCTGTCTGACTGTCTGTCTGTCTGTCTGTCTGTCTGTCTGTCTCTTTCTTTCGTTTTTTCTTTCTTCCTTTCTTTTTTTCGTTCTATCGGTTTGTCTTTCTGTCTGTATTTCTTTCTGTCTTTGTTTCCTTTTTCTGTCTTTCGTTCTGCTTTTGTTTCCTTTTTCTACCTTTCTTTTTGTCTGTGTTTCCTGTTTTCTGTTTTTCTTTCTTTGTCTTTGTTTTCTTTTCCTCTCTTTCTTTCTTCCTTTTTCCCTTTTTACTGTGTGACGTCTGTCCACTGCATGCATGAAGTAGCCCTTCAACAACGACCTCCACTCAGTTCGGTCAGTTTTTCCCCTTGTCCAGGCTGTATCCGTCCACTCTCTCTGATGTCATCTTGCCATCTTCTTTCTGGTCTTCCTCTTGAGGTTTTTCCTGTTGTTGATTTCCATACAGTGCATCTTTTTGTACACTTGTTATCTTTCGCTCTACCTATGTGACCAGCCGGTTTCTATTTTTGTCAGAGTATAAATTTAGGTATATCTTTCACCCCTGTGCTCCCTTATATTTTTGTGCGCTTTTAATTTTATATTTTATATACTCAGAAAATATCTTTCAATCGCTCTCTGTTTTGTTCTTATTTTTTTCTTTATGGTATTTCTGGTAATTGTCCATGGTTGATACTCATAGCTTTTTACTGGGACAAGCCACTGATTGGAAACGTGTCTATCTTAGTGATATCGACAGATTTTTATTTGTTGTCGTGTGCCACGACAGGTGGGATCAGACGCTAGTCAAGTTTTGAACACATGGAGGTATTGGTACAACCTTAGAGTTTGTTGAATTGTTTGGCTTTTGGAGAAAAAAATACCCAACAAACAAGTCATATGTCTCGAATAGAAGATGAGATATTTGCGATGGAAAGAGATATTTCTTTTTGCAGAGGGGGGAGGGGCTGGTATCAGAGATAAATTCAGCGCGGCAATGACGCCAAAGCTTGGTGTCTTCCACAGCTGAGGCAGCCCTGGAAACTACAAAAGAATGTAAATTTCGAACGTCTTTGATCAAGGGTTTTTTTCTGTTAATATCAAGTAGAAATATGTTTTTAAGTGGATATTAAAGGTACTGAGCTCAAGACAAAACCAAAAATGATGCTCCCAAACGAGCAGAGAAAAATGTTGATTTTTTACTTTGACAAGCGTCTGCTTTCGCCACGATGACTCATGGATTTCTCTGTATCTTCCAAACATAGCTTATCTCCCCCTACCTCTCATTATATTTATATGCATTATACATCTGTATCTATCTGTGCTGTCTCCCGTCAGATAATCCACTGTGATGTAGCCACCAGGAACATCCTGATCACCGACAGAGGCATCTGTAAGATCACAGACTTTGGTCTGGCCAGGGTGGTGGAGGGCGAGGACGCCTACGAACGGACCTCTAAGGTAGGGAAGGAGGGGGGGAGGAGGTGGAAGTGACAGGGGAGGGGGAGAGGAGAGGTGAGGGGGAGAGGGGAAGGTGAAGGGCAAGGGTGGGGGTGAGGTGGAAGGGGAGAGGTGAGGGGAGAGGTGAAGGGAAGGGGGAATGCATTTGAGAGGACTTCTAAGGTAAAGGAGGAGGGGGAGGAGGAGGAGGAGGGGAAAAGGGAGGGGGAGGGGGAGTCGGAGGGGGAGGGGGGATGGGAGGGGAGAGGGGAAGGTAGGGAAGGAGAGGTGAGGGGGGGGGAGGATGCTTGCGAGAGGACCTTCATCTTTATCATTCACAGAGCAGCAGGTTAGGGCGTACATGAGGGTGGCGGCGGATAAGCAACACTCACTTCACGAAGCCATTGGAGCAATCAAGGGAAATCGCCTAAAACGAGGAGCTTCATGGATGGCTGAGGCTGAAAACACCATCAAAGAAGTCTGCCCACTGGAAGATATAAAGCGGGCTTAAAAATGGATAAAGATGAATGAGAGACAGCAGGGAGATTTTGGGAAGGTAGTGATTACGCTGAACAGAGAATGTAGAGAGTGGCCGCATTGGGCGACAGATGCTGAGATACGACAACTGATTGAAGAAAACTCACGGCACTAAGATGTGGTTGTATACACGGATGGGTCTGTTAAACGAGGGGGAAAATCTGGATGGGGCTTCTCAGCAAGAGTGAGTGGCAGATTGGTGCAGGAACAGCAGAGAGCATACGATATGACAACATCTAGCATGAGATTGGAGATAGAGGCAATCACTCAGGCTCTCAGATGGGTCACAACAACTCGACAAGCACATGAGGTCTTTGTCACAGACTCTCAGAGCACTCTGAGGAAGATTGAAAGTGGGAACCTTAAAGCTGAATGCAAAGAGCTCCTGAAGAGGACAACAATGAAAAAGATCACGTGGATCTTCACCCCGGGCCATGCTGGAGTCAAGAGCAATGAGCGGTCTGATAAGCTCGCTGGGAAAGCAAAACCAGAAGGAAAGCTGTGCCCTGACAAAAATGAAATTGTACGGTCAGTCAAGGAAAAAAGAGAACAAGAACAAGAAGAGATGGAATATCATCATCTTGAGCGACTTCGTGAGCTTGAAATTGGATGGGGCGCCTGCAGAAGTTCAAGACTGAGTGGGAGGAGCAGAATGCTATGGAATCAACCAGTGCTTGGAACCGTCAGCATCTACACACTTCGAGATGTGCTTCTTCAGGGGATGGAGCGCTTATGGGAATGCCCCTTGTGCAGTGATGTCGGTCCTTCACACAAGTAAACAAGAGTAGGACATAACTCCGCTCTACGGCAAGCTCTATACGCTTTACAATCTGTATCTTATTACCCAAGCAGACCTTAGAACATCCAAAAACATTCTCGGCTTCCCGGAAAGCATGCAGTGCAAGCAGTTGATTAAGCACTCAAAGACCAACAAACTGAAAAGATCTTTCGATGTCTATAGCCGGGTACCCATTCCTACCTGGATGAAGTGTGAAAAAAAATCGTGCAAAATGCCTTTCATTGAGACACAACAAGGGCCTCTGAAAACGTTCGAACCCATAACCTTTCAGCTACAAGCCCAACAACCTAATCACTGAACTATCGGCATCAAGAGATAATATATGATAGTATAATTAATTATTTAGAGATTGATCTTAGGTAAGGATAAACAAAGACAAGATAAAGTAAGCGGGGCGGGGAGGGTGGGGAGGGGGGGGGCAGCAACGTCAAGCATCTGGATTTTTTAAATTACAAATTTAATTAAATTTCATAGTGAAAGTCATCTCTATTCTGAAGACACCATCGCACATAAATTCAGTTCTTTAATTGTTTAACTTTCAAATTTTAAATATTTTTATCCCTGCCCAATTAACCATATCCTCCCTCCCCCCAACCCCTCCATCCCCCCTACCACAACTACATCACCCCCACCCCCTCACCCCCCGAACGCCGATCCACCCACCTATCAACCCTCACCCCACCCTCCGCGTGCAATCCACCCACCCAGTGCCCACTCCCCATACGCTGGATGGCCCCGGAGTCTCTCGTGGACGGTCGACACAGCACAAAGTCGGATGTCTGGGCCTACGGCATTCTGCTCTGGGAGATCGCCACGCCCTAGGTAATGATAATGGCAATAATAATGATAGAATAGGGACAAATGCAGGAGAGAGGCTGGTTAGTACTATAGAAGAGAGCTGTGCCGGACGAAATTATGAGCGTACCGAGATAGTAGAGCGCAAGAGATATCATGGCGGCACGATAAGTATA